CTCTATGCCTCATAGTTAGAGGAAACCTTGAGATTTTCATCTTTTCATCCTAGAGATTCCTTCTCTTTCTGGTCATACCCTCTGTGTTTCAAAGCCCTTATAGCCCTTTGGTTTGGTTTATCCTCTCCTTTGGGAAGAGTCCTCCAGAATTTGAGGTGGATGAGTGGTAATTTATTTTAGGCTTTGTATGTTGAAAATGTCTTTATTCCATCCTCCAGCTTAATTGACTATTTGATCATGAGATTTCTACATTAGAAATTATTTTTCCTCAGAATTTCAAAGGCACTGTTCTATTTTCTTTTCCTATTTCACATGACTGTTGAGAAGTCTTACTGTTTATCTAACTTGTTTTCTCTTTGGGGAAGCTTTTATGATCCTTTCTTGCTCTCTGGGGTAGTCTGAAGTGTCACCATGATGTGACTCAGAATCCACTTGCAGTTAACTGTGGCACAGGCTTCAGAGACACACTGAGTTACAATCTTCATACCTACCTCATAGGGTTATTCTGAGAATTAAATGAATTAATACCTGTAAAATGCTTGAGATAGTGCCTGCTATTTAGTACGTATTAATCATTAGCTTTTATTAATATTTCAAACACAGAAAGTCATTTCCTAGAGTTCTGGAAAATTTCTTTGAATTATTTCATTGACTACTCCTCTCTATTTTCTCTATTCCCTTTTTCTAGAACTCCTATTATTTGTATGTTCTATGTTTTAAAAACTATTTTCTTTCTCTTTCTGAATTTCTATGTGCATCTTTCTTGTCCTACTCTACAGCAGATTTCCTCAGCTTTATCTTCGGAACTTTCCACTGTGTGTGTAATGTCTTCTACCATATTTTGTGTCTTGAGTAATTGTATTTTGTTGTTTTTCTCTGAATGTTCTTTTTACACTGCATTCTCTTTGCCAGGGTCTGAATGCATCCTCCCAAATTCATGGTTTTGAATCTTAATCCCTCAATGCAACAGTGTTGAATGGTAGAGCCTTTGGGAGATGTTTAGATGATTAGGGTGAAGCCCTCATGAGTAGGTTAATGTCCTTATAAAAGGGCTTGACAGCTCTTGGTCTCTCTTTTGCCTTCTGCCTTCCATCTTATGAGCTCACAGCATTCTTCTCCTCTGGAGGACACACCATATTGGAAGCAGAAACCAGGCTCTCATTAGATACTAAGCCTGCTACTGCCTTGGTCTTGAATTCTCCACTGCTAGAACTGAGAACTAAATTTCTGTTCTTTATAAATTACCCAGTGTTAGGCATTTTGTTACATCAATAGCACAAAATGGGCTAAGATACTCTTCTTATTTCACATCAATATTTTCTTATCTCTCTCCAAGAATACTAATTTTTTGAAGTTACATTTCCTTGCAGAATCCTATTTCCTTCTAGATTCTTTTTATCCCCCCACCCCCACCCCACCCGTTTACTTGTTTGGGGCTCTGCCTCCCTGTTGGAGGTGTTAGATAGATGTAAGTCTCCTCGGCTGCCTGACAAGGAGAGGCACACTAAGAAAAAACCCACAGCAAGCTCTTGGTGGGTGGCAAAGGCTTCCCAACTATGGGTTCTATGTATTGGAATTTGACTGGGTTATTGTGGACCCCCAATATCAGTGTCCTTGGGTCTTTCTCTTTCCCTGGTCAGATTTTTGTAGAAGATTCTTGCAATCTTCTGCCTGGAGAGTAAGAGGTTGGCTGCCAGTAATCCAGAGATGGTTCAGCTCATTGCTTCAACGCAGTGCAGTGTTCTCAACTGGGCCTGATGTTCCCAGCCTAGAGACTCTCCACCTTACCCTCTTCTGAGAAATAGGAGAGGTAGTTCCTTCGTTAGTAGAGATGGGAAAGTAATCTGTGATCTAAGTCTTTCTTATACAAACTGCACCAATCTACTTATTTTCAACCTATCTTCACTCTCTCCTCTAAAGGTTTGAGATATTACTAATTCCAACTCTCTTGGGGATTCTGTGATTCAAATTAGACTGTTTCTTGGCTTTCATTTCTGATAATTTAGAGCAGCTTCCAGTTCTGAAAAGTTGATTTTTACTCACCATTATGCTTTCTAGCTTTAAATGTTTGTTTCTATCAATTCATCTCTTATTCTCCTTGCTTTTGTAGCTTTATGCTCTTAAAAACCCCTTCAGTATTATTTCAAGAAGCAGCAGAGGTGATTCGTTTCACTCCTAAATTTAAGTGCAGTCTTAGTTAAAGTTCATCAGCAAGAAAGTGTTTTTATTTTAACCTTAATAACATGGACAGCCTTCAATTGGAATGTCCTGGGGTATGAAGGACAATGTATCTTTGTAGCTTATGTACAAGGGTGATATTCAAAATACTGAGCAACCAGTATGGTATGAGCACTGAGCAACTGGTATGGTATGAGCACTGACCAATCTAAAGACATGGCATCATTATTGATGCCTGCTGGCTGCATGTTATTACTGGGTGTATGAACAAGGAAAAGCCACTGGAAGCAAAGATGAGCACGGCATGTATTGGAGTGGGAGGTGAAGTTCTGTTGGGAAGCAGATTCTTTTGTTTTCCTTGACCCTGTGCCTTGAATATAAATGTTGGCCTCGAGAGGAAGATGATTGTGCAAGGGTACAGGTGGCTGAATCTCTGATGTGAGATGAATTTTCACTGGGTGAAACTGATAAAGAACAAGTCAAATAATTGTTAGTGCCAGTGAGGCAGCCCTGGACTGTGGATTCTCAGCTCAGGCATAAAGGAATAATAGGTGAAGAAAAGACACAATCTTTAAAGAAATTTGGTTAGTCCAATTTTGGATTCCTATATGCTTTCTGGAAGTATGTTTTTATTTTTTCAATTTAAAAGGAAATATTGTAACATACAATCAGAATAAGAGTAAGAAAAATGGAGGGCACTTTGGACAGTCTCAGTATCTTTATATATGAGAAATATCTGGTGACAATGTTTTTACTGTGACACTCTATCAATGGTTATGCCAGGCTGATGAATAAGCATTTCCTGATTTCTATCCTAGAAAATCAAACAGATGTTTCCCTCCCCTCTAGGAACTTGAATATCTAACATATAAAGACTTTACAGACTCACACTCAAAATGATCTGTTGACAACAGGCATGGATTTCAGAGTAACCAAATAGCCTTAGTTGGTGAGGGAAAGCTCTACTTTACATACAGAGTAATAGTGCTACATATTCTGCAATAATTCCAAATATATGAATGGAAAATATATTCAAAAATCACCATTTGTAACCTCTAGTGAAATAATTGATTTGGACAAAGATCATTAACAGATGCTAAAACCACTAGTTGAAAGGAGGTGAGAACCAGGTATTCACAAGGTGCCAAAATATCCTGCATAGATACTCACTATTTGCCAAGAGAAGATGTTTCCTTTACAGTGGTGTCCCCTGGTCACCAGATCATTCAACACCACATCACTAAGTGTGAGACAGACATTTGGATCCTTATGTGAGAGAATAAGAAAACACAACATCATCTCTGAAATATACTTGCCAAAAATACTTACCCTGAATCAAATTAAGGTTTTAGAACTAACTTCCATCTTAGAGGACAGGGGATAGAGGAACCAGTTACCTGATACTACAAGGAAAACAGACAAATCCACCATGTGGGACATTTTGCAACCGGCCTTATCTTTAAAAAAGGGGTTGGAGCAAATAGACTGGTCTAGAATTTTTTTTCTTTTTTGCCACAGAGGCCTGGGCTAGAGTACCATTCAGCCTAGCTCATGGCAACCTCAAACTCCTGGGTCCAACCAATCCTCCTATGTCAGCCTCCTGGGTAGCTGGAGACTACAGGCCATACTACCCACCATAACACCGGGTAGTATTTCTATTTTTGGTATAGAAGGGAACTCACTCTTGCTCAGGCTGGTCTCGAGCTCCTGAGCTCAAGCAATTCTCCTGCCTCAGCCTCCCAGAGTGCTGGGATTACAGGTTTGGGCCACTGCACCTGGCCTGATCTAGATTTAAAGAGATGTAAAAGATATAACCATATGTAATACATGTTACTTGATTGGATTTTGGTTAGAAAAACTATACAAAATATTTGGGGGATGGTGGAAGAAATATGAATATGGACTGAGCATTAGAATCAGTTTTGCTAGGTGTCATAATGGTATTGCAGCTATGTGAGAATATGTCACTAAAGGTATGCGGTGGCATTTAGGGTTGAGGTTTCATGATATAGTACACTTTGAAATAATTTAACAAGGATAACATAAGTAGATTTGACACAGATATGGTAAATGTTAAATGGCGTTGAATTAAGATATGGATGTTCAACTGTTTTATTCTACTTTTCTATTTATTTGAAATTTTTGTATGAAAAGGTTTAGGGAAATGACCTGTAGATACAAAATTGCATAAACCTGACCTGACAGTTCTGGGAGGAGCAGGAGGGAGTGAGTGTCTCAAAGGGCCACATGTATGTTGGGCACCAAGGAAGGGGCATTGGCCCTGCATCCACCAGCGTAATGGAATGAGGTGGTCATTCATTCCAGAATGAGTGAGACTTGTGGAAGAGTTAATGTACCTACAGACTGCCCAAGTTATTGTCAGGAATAATTTACTCAGTGGAAAGATGAGATTGAATAATTCATGTTATAACTGCAATGAACTCATGTTTGGTGGCTGTTAGTTAGGTCCCCTCCCCAAATTATAGTCACCTCAAACTACGTCCTTTGCATGAGAAGTTTTTTTTGGGGGAGGTGTTTCTTTCTTTCTGAGGGTATGTTGTCTTTTTCCTCCTTTCTCCTCCCACTTTCTTTCCTTCCCTTCCTTCTCTTTCCTCCCTCTTTTCTTTCCTTTCTTTTTCTTATACCAATTTTTTCTCCAAACAGGAGAAAAAGTAACTGTCCCATCAACTCAGACATGGATGTAGAGTGATAATTAAAATGCAGAATTGCTTTCTGCAATACTAACTTGTTTTTAAAATACAGTTGTTGCTGAAGAAGTGTGTTTGCTGCCCCATCCAGCTCTGCTTCTGATGTGATTTCAGGGAGCTGGACTGTGCCATGTTACGCCGCCTGGAAAAGAGGATTCTGGTTGGTCTCCCCAGCCAGGAGGCCAGGCAGGCCATGATCCACCACTGGTTGCCCCCTGTGAGCAAAAGCACAGCCCTGGAGCTGCGCACAGACCTGGACTACAGTCTGCTGAGCCAGGTGGGCTGCCTGGAGGAGATGCATGCAGGCCAAGGGGCGGCCATGTGACCATCTTCTAGACAGGGTCTTACCATGAACCATTAGGACCTTGAGACACTTAGAAAAGATCCAAGCTGCCCCAGCAACACAATGGGCCTTTGCTTCATCAAAGAATGAGCTTTTTGTCACTTGGAAAGATTCAAGCATGGAGAAACAATGTGAGGTACTGGAACTAGCATAGGGCTTAGCCTCAGAACCTCAGGTCAAATCCTGGCCATGCTATTTGTTAGCTGTGTTACCTCAGGGAAGTCACTTACTCTCTGAGCCTCAGTGTCTCCATCTGTAAAACAGGCATCAGGTAAGCCAGTAAGAATTATTGTAATGATTAAATAGAAATCTTTTGCAATCAGAAAAGCTCCTCCATTATTACGGTGACCCTGCCCAGGGTGTGTTGTAGAAGCCTTGCCTGCTTTGGGTGAACACTTGAACACAATGTTCTCTGAGGTTTCTCAAGGGCAGTTATAAGAACAAAGGTGCCCACTGAACTTGATCATCCTTGAATTTGCGTACAAGGTCCCCCAGTCTTTCACCAGCATCTTACAATATTTTGGGATGGTGTTAGGAAGTTTATTTTTCCCCAGCTACTTAAGTTATCCAAACACATTTGTAGCATTCTTCCTCAAGCACTATTTATCTGCAAATCTGTGTCTAGTGTTCATGGGTGACAGATACAGAATCTAACAGGGCTTCCCATCCCTGGCTCTGCCTGTAAGAGTGGAATGGCCACCAGTATGCTGCCTGCTGACCAATGGCTGGGTTTGTGGCTGTTTCAGGAAACTGAGGGCTACTCAGGCTCAGACATTAAGCTGGTCTGCAGGGAGGCAGCCATGAGGCCCGTGAGGAAGATCTTCAGTATGCTTGAAAATCACCAGTCAGGTATGGTTGGGATCACTGCGGAAGTGCTTTGGGAGAGAAATTTGTGTTGAAAAGTCCTGCTCTCGCCAGCAGATGGAGCCCGAAGCCTGTTCTTGGCGCTCTTTACACCTGCAATACGTTCTTTGCTCAGGTCATCATCCCGCACACAGCCCATTCCTTCTTTCGTGTTCTGTGTGGGCTTGACTTTGCTCGCAGATGATAAACTCTTTAGGGCTCAGGCTTTTATTTCTCTGGCACATTCTAATGCTGGGCTAGATCCATTTGAAGCACTATATAAATATTAAATAATACTTTAATAACGATACATTTGAGTCACATTCTTTGGTCTGGCCTTTAGGGGCTAACTCGGTTGCACATTAAAGAACTTTTCCCCCAGCCCTCTGTAGTCTTGCCTTTTGCTGCATTAACCATTAAGAATGCTGCATTATGCATTGTCTTGAAAGAAGGTCTATTAGCATTTCAAGGGCATTGATCACCAGAGGTCGATTGTTGTGCTGTTCCTGTTGTGTTTTTAACCTAGAGAGCAGCAATTTACCTGGGATCCACTTGGATACCGTGACCACTGCCGACTTTTTGGATGTGCTAGCTCACACCAAACCTTCAGCAAAGAACCTGACTCAGAGGTACTCAGCCTGGCAAAGAGAGTTCGAGTCTGTTTGAAATCACATTCACCCTGACCTGGCCACTAAGAAGAAAGGGAGGAGCCTTTCAGAGGTCCTCAAGTTTATTAGTGTAAGTGAGAAAAGAACTTAATGATTGGAATGGGAAACAGAAAGATATTCTTGAAGACTGGATTAATTTCAACAACTGTATCTTTGGGACTCTGAGATAGTTTCATTAATTTATCATTATTGAAGTCGGCAGAATGGTGAAGATTTCAACTACAAATATGTGTGTGTGCTGTTAGGTCAGACAATGGAAATTTTCTTTACAATTAGATTTCATAAAATATTCATGAACAATTTCCTGCAATATTGCTCATTTGTGAACTTTAGGAGAAAAAGCTGTAGTTAGAAAAGTTGTGTTGGCCATGCACAAGTTGGGGCTGACTTGGGGCAACCAGACAACAGTTAAGCTTGACAGACTGACCAGGCAACAATTCAAAGGTGCTGAAGGGAGGGGCAGTGGAGGGAACATGTCTGCCTCTCTTTCATTCTTGACAATATTCTGAATCACATCAGCTACCCTAATTCTCAGCCCACCTGGCTTCAGCACCAGCAAACCCCAACCAAAATAGCCCTGCTTAGAACCGTCACAGAGTATATTGATTTCAGAGCTAATAGCAGGGGTGACTACACACCATCACCACCAGCTACCCGTCTGAGTGTTTGGCGTTCTGGCCCCCGTAGTGTCTTTTGACACTTTTCACATCTCACATTCAGTGTGCTACGTCCTTCTCTTTCCACTGCCACACTCCTTGTCTGAGGCTGAGTGCTGTATTTGCTTCAGATGCTAAGCAGGGTCTCAGAAAGGGGCACCTGAGCTTCTAGAGTCTTCCCTGTTCTCAGGCTCCTCCCTTTCTTATGTGGTTATAGGCAGTTTAGAAGTATCTCCCTGAGAAACCCACAATCCGAGGCAGGTGCTTTCAACACCTGATACATTTTGAAGGCTCCCACTAAGTAACGCCACTTCTCTCCCACACTAGGTCTCATCAGACCTATGGAAAATTATCTCCTTTTCTTTTCCTTGCCTTGTTTTCTTCACCCCTGTAGGCAGATTCCTCCAGAGGGTAAAAACTTTCAGGAAAGGGGGCATTTCTGATAGCTAAGTATTCCAAAGGATTTTACCCTTTTAAGCAAAAGCAAAGCACTTTTTTGGTATTGTTTTGAGTGGATTATTCTCAAATGCCTCTTAAAATGTCATTTCATGGAAAACATAGCACACTGAAAACATACCTTATATAACAAATTTACGATAGAAAAGATTTCAGTTGATGCTGGACTTACTTCTTCATGAGCGTAAGTCCTCGACTCTGCAGATCCGTCAGGTGCCCATCAGCATTCTTTTCCAAATGGCCAAACGTACCAGATAAGCTTTCAACTCCCTCTATTCCCACTCCGGTCCTGGTGGCCCAAGGGAGCAGGGACCAGAGGAGCACTGTAGAATGAGCAGATCGACACCTCATTCCTGTTCCCAGCCCTGCATCGCACTACGGCCCGCCACCATGCCCACTGTCCCTGAGGCCTTAACTCCATGGTTCCACTTTTCCAGAGAATAATGGAAAAATCCCGCTCTTGCCTTGCCTAGGGATGGTCATTTGGCTCCTTGGGGTGGGGGGTGAGTTTCTGGGGCTCCAACTTTTAACCAGTTCCTCACTTTTCAACCCTGCCTGGCCCCTCACTTTCTACCTGCTATCTCCAAGCCTCGAGGATGAATTCAGGTTTTTTCTTTGCACTGATTTTAGTTAAAAACATTTCACCCACCTTTCCATCTTCCAAATTCCTGTTACTTTTTTGTCCACTGACATCTCCTCCACTTCCCTCTTGGGAGCTGTCCTTTAGGGCTCATACCTTCTTCGTTTCTTTACTCTTATTTTAGTGGGGCTTTGAGAAAAAAAGACCAACACATAGGATTTACCTGCTGTGTTTTAGAGATTGGTTATGGTTATTTTTTTTCAAGTACATTAGAAGTGTAACTAAGTTCATATAGGAGATTGGCCTGGTAGCTGTTGGAGGAAGATTTAACTTAACCGAATATGTGGTATTTTCTTCTAAAGCAGAAGTAACAACTCAAAGGTTTCTAGGAGCATGAAACATGGTAACAAATGAATAAAGTAAGCTGAGTGTAAGGAAAGGCCGAGGAGAGAACTGTGGTGAGCTGGAGAGGACCGGAGATTCCTCGAAGGACACAGCAGTGACTCAGCTCCAAATGAACACGGAAATTTGCACCCCACATTGCCAGCTCCTCCAATTATCCTAGAAAACCCAGTAATTCATTTGCATTTGAATCTCCTGATGCAATCTCAGAGGTTGGCAACTAAGGTTAACTGCCTGCAGAATTCTCATGGCTGTTCCCACTCATTCAGATCACCTGCAGAGGCCCAGTGCACCAACCCGCATTCCTATTGGCTGTACCCTTCACCACTATGGGTCTGTCTCACTGCTTTAGGTAGCTGTGGAAGTACACACATATCACTGCCTGTTTACCTTCCTCAAATGTAAGCTTCATAATTGTGGTACTTTTCCCTCACTCCTACTGAATGAATAAAACATTATGTAAAATGGCGTAGGCCAAAGGCTGAGCGTTGCATGTGCTTCAGACGCTAAGTTGTGGCTTCTGTACCCACACACTCAGCTCCCTGCAGGTGGTCTCTTCACTGAATATTTATACAAAACCATTTGGAACTTGTCGGAGCACTTGGTATCATCAGATATATTTTTGCCTGCTTCAGTTCCCCAAATAGAAGCTATGCAACTTAGGAGCAAGAACTACATTCAGCTTTGTGTTCCTGCTTTACCTACAGGGAATATTTAACAAATATCTGATTTTCTCAGGCCCATCAGCCAGTGAAACAAACAGTTGAGCCGTGTATGACAGGTAAGCACTGAAAACAGTAAGGTATTCAAAACTGATGTTAAGACAGTTTGTACTAAGACACATGATTTCTGGTGCTCTGGGTCCTTGCTGCTGCTCCTTAAAGATGGGGACATGCTTTCGGATAGCATGACGACTGGTTGATACACAAGCCAGCAAAGGCCTTTGTGTTTATGCCAAAGAAAGTTTTTTTTGACTTGATAATACAAACACAGCCCTATGCAAACAACTGCTAATATGATAAAGGTATTCTACTTCTCAAGGCAGTGTTTTAGTGAAACACATTAGTGCAGTTTTCAAACTCTTTATTATAGGTGCCCAAGGACTCCAGTTTTATTCTACATGAACCATTGATTCATACCAATTGCACATGATCAATGTAGGTATTTTTAATTTCTCTGTTCAATGTGCTACTCTTTAAGTTTTAACATGTGAGTTTAAAGGTGAAGTGACAGACATTATCATTTCCAGGGAATTTCTGACATCACAGCTATACGTCAAGTTTGGTGGAACTGTCACTTGAGTGACTTAGAGTGGGGCGAGCTAGTGCCCTTTTGCTGTCCTGGCCATCAGCTCTGATAGACGGAGAACACTAGCAGGTAGAGCACCTGCAAGCCTAGGGCTGACTCTGGAGGCTTGGGAGAAGTGCGTGGGGCCACTGTCTGTCCTCCCCTGCACTGGCTTTGCCCTCCTCCCACTGCACATGGACCTGGCTCCCAGCAGATTTGAGATGCCCAACTCCTAACAATGGGTGTTCTCTAATAACCTCTCTATTCCCAAAATGTCACCTGCTCCCTTTTCTGGCCCAGAACAGGATGACAGTAAAACTGATGCAAACATTGTCCTTGAGTATAATACAAGATAGCCGTTTAAATGGGATGGCTGGAAAACGAGGCCCTTCAGATACTTTAGTTATTAAATTTCCTCCGTGAGGCCTTGACAGAATAACGAGCCATGACTAACATTGATTGGAATGTTACAGATTTGTAGTTATCCTCATCAATCTGTGCAGAGGGTAGCAAGCCCTATATGCTTAATAAGTAGCTCAAACAAAGATGTTCATGGCCCACAGGTAGAATGTGGATGGAGGAAAGGAGAGAGGCTATTTCTCCCAGCTGGATACGTTATGCTCAGATCTTACCCACTCCTGCTCCTCTGTTCACTTCCTGAGTCATCCGTGACGTTAGAGCTTTAGCTCTAACCTGTCTCCAGAGCACCAGATCTATTACCTCCAAGTGTCTAATGGGGGCTACCTACAGGCATCAAGTCTAAAATGCAACTGTTTCTCCTCCCTACCCACATCTATGCTTTCTAGCATTGAATTCTTATAATGTTTACAGTTAGTTTTTATTGGTTCTGAGTGCCTGTGTTGGAGCAGATATTAAAAAAAATGAGATGCAGTCCCATCTGGGGGAAGCAGAGCCATGTGAAGATGTGAGCACACTCTAACAAGTGCCATGTGGACATCAAGGAGAGGACATCAAAGAAGGAGACACTGCAATTGGCTCTCCATGTTGTTGAGTCATGTCTTGTATATTCTCCCTAGCTCTTCAACTAGAAAGGGTCCTCAAGGGAAAACCCTTTGCTTACATGCCTATTTCCCATGACAATCAGGGCACTCTGTGCACAGCAACTAGCAAACACTTGAGGATGCTTGGCCCACAGCAAAACTGACCCAGGCACCCAAGAAACAGGCCAAAGTTGAGCACAGCCCACCCACCAGGTGCCACACAGCACTGTATGAGCTTTCCCTGGGAAGTCTGGATGTAGCAGGGTATCCCTCTTAATCCTCAGAAAGACCTTCCACCGAGATAACTATAGAGATACATTTTACCAAAACTTTTCAGATTACTACTAACTGGGGACAGTCCTGCTCACCTGCATCATCACCACAGCAAATGCACAGCACGTTCCATTTGCCCAACTCTATTCTAAGTACTTGATATGTGGTTCACACATTTAATTTCACACCAACCCTGTGTGGTGGAAACTATCATTATCTCTATTTCCCAGATAAAGACAGAGGTGTGAGAGGCAAGGTGACTTGGCCAAGGCCAGAGGCCTGCTCAGTGTTGGCTAGGCTCCACAGTCTATGTCCTTAGCCACTCGACTCATCCTTCTGATTTGGACTGTTAGTCATACCACATCTGTCTTTTATAGCCTAGGATGTGGAAGTACTAAATTGGGGTATTTGCAAAAACAAGAACAGAGTGCTCAGCAGACTATCATTTATTCAGCTCCCCTTCCTTCCATCTAAGACCAAGCTGATCTCTAAACAAGCATCAAAACCCGAAGCTCATTAACATCAGTGTGAGTTTCAATAAGGTGAACACTACAATGATGTACAATTACATTCTAATAATTCAATGCCCAGGAGCCCCGTAAAACAACTGCGGAGGCCCAGGATTATCACACTATGCAAATGCACTAGGAAAATCATTACCTATTTAGTCCTCTTCATTTTGGTGGGTTTAACATAAGAAGAATAATCCATGCTACAAGACGAGATTTCATTTTACAGCTGTAGTAACCAAGTACATAAAAGCTTGAATCTGTCCCAAAAGTGTCTAAAAGATTTTTCCCATAGTGTCAGAGGCAAAAATAATGAAATCTTGCAAATGTACAGTTAATAGGACCCTGGTGGACACTAACTTCAAAAATGCATGGTCTGTAAGACATTAAAGGCTTGATTTTAGTTTCTGCACTGTTCCTGTTAATAACAATGTCTAATTAAAACATCTGTAAAATACTGATAGTTTTAATTTTACATAAAATTTCCCAAACAACTGTTACACAGTATAATAGGTATCTGCAATGAATAGGTTATTAATGGAAATATTATTTTAAATTAAAATCTGGTTCTAAATTTAAATTAGTCATCTCTGGCTAATGAAGAGAAAAAGAAGTCACCCGTGCTGGGAATACAGTAGAAAATCTAGTTTTCAACATCTGGTAAAGCAAATTCACTGTATCACTTGGGCTACAGGACAATTCACTTTGCTGCTTATGTCTCAGACTCTGCTCAGCACTTCTGATGGATTTCACAGTTGAACTGAATATTAAAACTACAGCCTAATGCACCTTTTAATGGATTACTTTATAATTTAAAAACCACCATTCAATTTTATTTACAGTCTGAATTTCCCCTCCCTGTCGTCCAGTGAGGAGATAGCAGAGAACATTTCCTCTGCAGTAGCTGCTCCCTCCCAGGCCTGCCCAACCTGATGAATATTTTAAAAGAAATGGCACAAAAATCTCAGCTTTCCCTTTCTTTGGGTCTCATCTTTTGTTACAAAATAAAACAAAAGGGATTAGTGAGGCTTGCTGGCTGGCTGCAATTCAATACCTTTCTTTCTAATTAATGCACAATAAAAGGGGGTTACACCACCATCAGCACTGAGTGGTGCGTGTCTGTCGGTGCTGGCACTGAGCTGGGAAGGGATTCATCCCAGACACTAAAAGCTGCCTTTCAGGTTCTTCAGATGCACGTAATGGTTCACAGTAGATGCTGCAGAATGTGGTCCACGGCATGAGGAAAGCTCTCACAAGTTAAGTAAGGAGCTGGATTAATCTTTTCTTCATCTGCTGCTCGATATTTCCCTGAAACGAAAGTAAAGTCAGTGAACAAAAGCTACCGCCAGAATGCCGAACTAATCACAGCCTGCGAGCGCCCAGCCACCACGGAACCACCCTCACAGTTACTAGACAATCAGGGCTGCTAGTTTCCCAAAGCACCTTGTACTGAAGCTTTAGGATGCAATGTCGCCATGCAAAGAAATGTCACTTTCAGCATTTTCCCAGGCCGTCTGGTCATTCAAAATGGACAGTCACCAGTATCAGGTCACTGGACAGCTGAAGTTCCCTTCAAATCTTCATAGTTGACAAAATCATTTTCTTTCCCCTACCTTCGACTATAATGACTGGTGACTAAACCCATGCTTTAAAAGGGAAGCCCAGGCCCTGGAGGGCAGCTGAGTCAGCTCTGGAGGGTCACTGGGAACAGCATGTGCTGCGGCCAGGCAAAGGCAGGGGCCGAGCGCCCAGGGCTGGGGTGGAGACCGTGAAGGATGCTCCCAGGCTGGACCAGGCAGGAAAGCCATGAGGCAGGCGCCACAGGACAGGCTCGCAGCCTAACCCTCCAGTATCTCGAATTCAAGACAGCCTGCTGTCCCTGGCCCAACACAGCAGAGCAATCATTCCATACAGCGGTCACCGACAACTTTTGCAAATGTAAACCAGAAGGTATCTGGCGCCTATTTAAACACCTTTAATGGGTCTTGATGCCCTTCAGGAAGAATCCAGAATCTACTGTTGCCTTCCTGGCCCGCTGTCATCTGGCCGAGCCACCCTCTAAGCTTAGCATGTGCTATGTGCTCACCAGGCTGCAGTCCTAGGCTGGACCTGGCTCCTTTGAGGGCTTCACACTTGCTATTCCCTGGGCCTGGAACATTCTTCTCACCTGACTACCTCCTGCATGCGTCAGTCAACCTCTCTCCCCCTCTTCCCAAATTGGATCCCCACCGTGTTATTCACTCTCCTCTACACCATTTAGAATAATTTGTAATTATGCATTTATTGAATGTCTGTCTCACATCTAAGGAAGCTCTCTGAGAGCAGGAACTCCGTGTGCTTTATGCCCAGTGTCCTCCCAGCACCTAACACAGTGACTAACACGGTAAACATTGCATAGATATTTTTTTAAAGACTGGATGGAAGAAGGAATGGAGGGAGGGAGGACATGGAGAATGCTGCTCCCGCTCTGAGCCACAGGCTGCCTCTGCACTTTGCTTTTCTCCTTGTTCTCTCTTCCCTTTTTCTGTGATCTCTGCTATTTGTTCTTCTGCTTTTTCCAGTTTTTGGTGCCTAAGCCCAGTTCCCACAACAGGCCCACCATTTTCTACAAGTACTGCTTTAAGGCGCTTTGCTTGGCAAACACAAAGCCTGAAAACTTCTACTTTCCACACCTTCATATTGTGGTGAAGACGCTTCCTCTCTTACCCTGCTGACTATAAATTCTTACCAGAAAGGAGCTAGCATCAAATGTACAGAGGTAATTAATATATACCTCACTCACATCGGCACTCTCAAGGCAGCTGTCCAGAAGACGGTCCACGTAGCAAATTCCACTGAGTTATTTCCTCAAGCTGAAATGCTATTAAGTATAAACTCCTTTGCAAGGTTTCTACTTAGTCCCACAGGCAAACTAGTGACTGACTACTGCTATCCGACCTACTTCCTGGCCTAAGGGGGAGGTATGTAAGTTTTTTTTTTCCCATGGAATTAGTGTTTCTAGAATGCTTTTGCTTAGTCTGGCTCGGCAGGTGGGGTTCCTAGAGTACAGATTAACACAAGTTGCTTAGGTGTGTGTTGTAGTTCTAGCACTGTGCCTGGCACATAGCAGGTGCTCAATGATGCCTGCTGAGCGAACTAAGCAGTCTGAATTACTCAGTGCAGCAGCCTGTGCTTTCCTGTGGGTAAATGATAAGTGGAGGGAGGACACAGGAGGCTAGCTTGATATAAGACAAAGAGACATCCCATTTTTTTCTAAAGGATTGTTTTACGTGATAAGCAGAAACACATTCTGGTTAGGATTAGCCAAAAAACCTTATTAACAAATCAGCAAAGTACACTGAGCATCTACTTTGTGTTGCCCAGTGAGAAACACAATTGCTGGAGACTATCTACAAAAAGTGTTATTGTTGACCATGCATTAAAATATTCACAGTAACTTTTAGACGGGGGAAGCCCAGCAGTGGCGCACTGCACCGAGTTACCATTTATCCATGGAGCTGGCTGTTCTGCATGCTTTTAGAACAGGGGGTATATTCATGACCAAAGACCAAACAGTACAAATACGCCTGTTTTCATGAGCTGGACTTAGCTGCTTTACTAATTACACATTGTGGAGGTGATTAGATTATGCTCTTGGCTTCTCTAAGACTAAACTGATGCCTCCGTGGTAGGCTGGTCACAACCAACTGCCAGACAGAAAAGAAGGCAGAGCCAGTGGAGACCAGCCAGGGGGAGCTGGGATAGGTCGTGCTGTGCAGCTTAGTGTAAATCTTTACTCACATGAGCAAGGAAAGGTAACATTCAGGAGAATAATCTGCACGGGCGAAAATAGTTACCTCAAGTTTTCTTTAATAACCAGAAAATAAAACTGCAAAAGGCAAGAATTTGAATATAAAGATACAGGGGAGTGTGGTTATTTTTCTTGACTTTATCTTATGCTTCTATCATAAGACTATTATAATGTTCCTAGCAAGGTGAAGATCACTTGCACAGAGAAATGAGAAAAACCCACTGTTTTCATTCTAGAGCAATTAGATTCCAGCCGGTATCTGCAAGGCTCCAGTGGTTCACTCCAGGCCCCAGAACGAGAAGATGGTTTTTTCAGTCTTTGTTCCTATGGAACCTTGCCACATACTTCTCATTCAATTATAGCTCCAATTACATATTCTTATTTCTATTTTTAAAGTCAAAATAGCTTTTATATAACCACACTTTCTAAAACATCGCAGTTCCTTTTTCTAAAAACTTCCCAATGGTAACTCTTTCTGTGACTTTTATGCTTAAATTTTCCCTTTTGTGAACAGCCTGTTACTGTTCACAAAAGGGAAAATTTACTGTTACTGTTTAAAACTATCATTTATAGGAAACTACCATTATAGGAAACCAGGCAAATGAACTCACAGAGACAAGACATCTATGGAACCATTTGTCTGTTGTTTGATTTGTAAGACCTCAATGACCATCCTTGGAAAAGATTTCTGGCTGTCATGTGCTATTCCAAATGTAGCAGGGGTCATCTGGAGGTGGGGTAAAGAGCAGGGACCTCTTCATTATAGATAAAAACAAAACAAAAAACAAAACTTGTGAGTTCCTAATGCAACAGTAGTCAACCCTACTCACAGCTCCCATGCTTGTTCTTTCCCTAACTTGAAAGGCTCCACATGGATTATTATAAGGGCCAGATAGGACCAGTCTGACCCCATCACTCCTGACGGGCCTAGAGAAGGGAAGAGTCTTGACCCGAGTCTTGCACAGCTAGCCAACACAGAGCTGCGATCAGGACCATGACACTTACCCCGTCCAGGGTACTCATAATACTGTATTAACTAAATACCCCTGGCAAGATCGTTCTTTTTCCCTAAATTTATATGAGGAACAATACAGAGTAAACCTCATTTTGGTGTGGGATATAACTTCCTAAACTTTTAATTACTAAAAACAGTAAGTGAAAAGACAAGAAAAAAGCTTTTTTGTATATATTTTTTTAAGTGCACAACAGCCATGCGTGATGACTCACGCCTGTAATCCTAACACTTTGGGAGGCCTAGGTGGGTGGACTGGTTGAGCTCAGGAGTACAACTCAAGCAAGAGCAAGACCCATCTTTAAAAAAAAAAAAAGAAAAAATCAGAAAATTTATTTTAAAAAAAAGAAGAAGAAAAGAAGAAAAGTGAAAAACAGTAACACCAAGAGTCAGATCACTTCGCTGGCCAGTTCCTAAGGAGATGAACTTCATGAACTTCACCATCTTATTGCCAGCACACAAATAAAAGGTATTTTTATAGCTCACCAGAATCCATGGTTCTTTGCTCCATTCCAGTGTGGTGAATTGTATATCCAGGAAATCATATAAATGCGAATTGTCAACTACGTATGATTATCTCTGGAAAAGTGTTGAAAGACCTGAGTCCTGAGTTTCCTAGCTTTATATAGTCAGGCCCTCTCTGTCTTTTTCCCTGTAATCCTAAACCCATTTTATTTCTGCTTTGTGGCAGAAAAAGAATAAAAGTGTCCAGGGCTCTGCCATTTCTGAAAAGACTATTGTTTAAGCAATTAGGTATTGAGCCATCATGTTTTACAAAAGGCTTTTTTTTTTTTTTTTTTTTGAGACAGAGCCTCAAGCTATCGCCCTGGGTAGAGTGCCGTGGCATCACAGCTCACAGCAATCTCCAACTCCTGGGCTCAAGCGATTCTCTTGCCTCAGCCTCCCAAGTGGCTGGGACTACAGGTACCTGCCACAATTCCCAGCTATTTTTGGTTGTGGTTGTCATTGTTGTTTGGCAGACCCAGGCTAGATTCGAACCCACCAGTTCTGGTGTATGTGGCTGGCACCTTAGCCATTTGAGCTACAGGCGCCGAGCCTACAAAAGGCTTATATAGGAGATACATACCAGTTTTTACTAAGATGCCCCGCATGCCGGCATTCTGAGCCCCACCAACATCATCCCTGCAATCCTAGAAAAGTAGTAAGAAAGCATTTAGTTCAGGGTTTTCAGTTAGCTTGCCAGCAAACCTCACCAACTTTGATTTACTAGGCTAGATGGCCAACTATAATCCCATGGTTGAAGAAGATGTAAAAAAGGGCAGATCCACATGCAATATTACTACATTTGGAACGAGAAAGTAACAGAGGTGGAAGGTGTACAAAAGAGTTATAATGCTAGTAACAAATGCAGAGAGCAAAGTCAGGTTCTTCATGCTCTGCCACACATACACCTATCTCAAACAGATCATGGAAAAAAGTGTTCTACCTATTTGGCAGCTTTTAAAGTAAATACAACTGCAATGAATGAAGTAAGATTCAGAAGACAGCTTTTTTTTTTTTTTTTTGCCCATGTAAATATATTGTCCTTACTTTCTATCCATTGTCCCTAACAGCTAGCATCAAGTCAAATCAGTACCTATAAACAGACCCTGCAACTGTCTGATGTTCGCTTCACACTTGGGAATAACAGATTAGTCTGAAAAGGGAGCTCCTCTATACAATTCTTATTCAAGACAGGGATAAATATATTTGCTTGCCTGTGATGATGAATGCAGGGTAATTAAAAATCCAAGGACTGGAAGGAATATCGAGAAAATCAATTCTGCCACCTCCTGTCTGTAAGCAGCATTTATTCAGATCATGCCTGAGGAAACGTTTCTTTTTCCCTCAAAAATTTTTAATATTGTTCAACAACAGCCCGTGGCAATAAGTTTCACAATGTAAGAGTCCTCATTCAAGGTCCAACTTAAACATTTCCTGTTACAGCTAAACTTATCTAGTTGAAGAAGAAGAAATGAGGGAGAGGGAGGAGAAGAGGAGGAAGGGGGGGGAAAGTAGATGGAGAAGACGAGGGAAAGAGCTTCCCCTCCTCTGGGTAGCAATCCCCCATTCCGCTGAGCACAGCTGTCACACGCCCTTCCCACCTCCATCCTGTCCCAGTACCAGCACCTCCTGGGATAAAGAATTCTCAAGTCTCCATCTGAGATAAACACTCCTTCAGACACAATTGTCTAGGAAAGGCAGATAAAGGCTTGCTAAGAGGAATAGGTGTGAATGAAAAGACAGTTTCTCAAATACTACTGAGTTCAATGATTATCCTATTTGATTTCAGGGGAATGCTTATAGTAATAGAAGATGAAATCAGGAGGACCCACCACCACAAGACCTCTGGGAGAGAGTCCAGAGGCTTGGGGTCTATCTACTTCCAGCTGTGCTACTAATTAACTGTGGGAATTCAGATGTGAAAATTGACCTCTTTGGACTTCAGTTTCCCAGTCTATAAGATGAAGAGGTTTAGAACAGTTATGATGGTCCCTCCTAGCTTGAAATGTCATTATTTAAAAATTGAATATAATCCTTGTCACCAACTTCCCATCATGACACACAGGAAATAATGTTTACCCAGTATACTGGGGTAAGCTAACAAGGTGCCCATGGCCACAGTGACCAGCCAGGGCCTCTAATCATAACCAGGCTCAGCCCTGTCACTCTAATAGCTGCAATGATCAATAGCTTTAGCTATCTGTGGCCCAATGATTGGGGTTCTTCTTTAAAGCATATGCCAA